GCAAGCGCGAGGCATTCAGCAGCTCGTATTATGATTATGAACGACCACACTGGGTATTAGTGAGTATGGCGTCAGACCCGGTCAATAGGGCCGTACTGTCAGTTCTGTCACAGTCTATACAGTTGTCCAACGAAGATGTCTAGACAGGGCAATCGTGCGGGGTGTGAAGGGCGAGACGCGGGTAGGCCGATCCCGAGCTGCGAACAAAACTATGTTAGTAGCTCGGGATATATTATTCAGGGCTAACGCGTGTTTGTTTTTACCGACTTCAAAAAAAGGACGAGGTACTATGTTCGAATGATTGTTTCTTTTTTATGTATGTTTGCCGTTGCATGAAATTTTCAATTTATCGTCATGGGTGTCGTTTTCGTGGTTTTCGAGGGTAGTAAAACCGATGGTGCTGTCAAAATGTAAATCCAAGATGGCGGCTGCACGAAATTTTTAATTTTTCGTCATGGGTATCGTATTCATGGTTATCGAGGGTGGTGAAAATCATAATGCCAATCCAAAATGGCCGCTGCCCGAAATTTTTAATTTATCATTATGGGTATCGTTTTCATGGTTTTTGAGGGCGGTGAAAATGATGGCGCTGTCAGAATCTAAATCCAAGATGGCGGCTGCATGAAATTTTCAATTTATCGTCATGAATATCGTTTTCACGTAACTACATTGTGTTTGGGTTTGTATAATTTGTATTGATTAGAACTTTGCACCTATGTGGATTATAAGTGGCAAAACGGGTCTATGTAGTTTTACACTAAAAGTGATATAATAAAAAAACCGACTTCTCAAATAAACTAAAAACAAATAAAAAGTAAAAACTAAAAAGCAAAAAATAACCATATTAGTACTGATGAGTTACTCACCCACTGACCGATTTTTAGTCGGAGCCATAAGTAATTTTTGACAATTCTGGCCGATGCGTTACTGTCTAGACTCTAGACGATGTCGGCATTTTACACGAGATCAAAGTTCATGAATACGAACGGAACGAATAGGGACCGGGTTTCTGCTTACATACCCAGTATGCGTACTGGTAAGCACAGCACGGTATACCTGTACCAGTAAATACGTATCATCCCTTAAATAAAAGTATTTACTTCTATAATCTCAGCTTAATTAACAAAGTTTCTTAATACAGAAATAATTTATACAACTAAAAATATAAAAAACAATGAACTAAAATACCTACACCTTAAAAAAAATCACAAGGCATCAAAGAAAACATTTTCCTCATCGCTACCGTGAGGTGGAGTGCCCAAAAGACTGGCAGCATTGCCACGTTGAATGGCAACGCTTAACCTTTGCCCAAGGTAGTAGCCAGCCCTTCGATCACCTGAAGTGTCAACCATCCTCCTTACAATATCTTTGTAAAGAAGATGTGCACTTGGGCCCCACGGCTCTAAAGTTTCAACCCCAAACGGTTCGAAAGCATAATTGCCAATCAGGCTATTATAATTTCGCCGTTTGAGGTTCTCGGCAGCACCGGCTCGACACGCTGAGCTTGGAAGATGGGATGGCGCCAGAGTATCAACGCAAGTGGCGTCCCATACTAAAGCCCTACCCATCTTCCAAGGGAATAATGACATACCGTCAGGTCTCTTGCCATCGTCGCGTACCAAGCCATTAGGTTCTAAAGTAGCTACTTACTTACTGAGTTTGAATTGTGCCAATCATTACAGTGAGTGTAACGAATTCGTTAAGTCGTGGCCACGAACAGACGATTTGCTATCATACGAGACTGTTCGACGCACCGATCTTTAAAATTTTGTCGGTTTTGTATATTGCTTTGATATTTTCCTTAAAAATGCCTTAAGAAAAAAAACAAAAACCTTTTTGTATAATGCTCCGGGTAATTCAATCGCTAATCTATTTTATAGGGAAGCATTAACGTAATCAACTAGATACAAATATTACCAAATAAAAATACACTATAGCCAGGATCTTTATTGACAAAAAAAATACTATACCATCTTCTTGAGTGGAGTTCATGTATATAGCCCACTGTTATCTAAACGATGTTGTTTTGTTTTCGACAACCACGCGAACGAAGTCGTGGGCACAGCTAGTTTGAAATAATGATCAAAATTCACTTCAACGTTATTATACCTCTGCTTATCATCTAGCGCTTAGTAGAGCTTGAAAATAGGTATTGTAACAAGTTTCTCTATCTTATACCTATCTACAACATAACATAACATCACGCCTTTTATCCCTGAAGGGGTAGGCAGAGATGCATATTATATCACTGTGCAATGTAACACCCACTTTTCACTATATATCTTATGAGTCTCATGTAATAGGGGATGAGCCTATTGCCATATACCGGGAACAATTCCAGACTCCGTGCTACTACTGAGAATATTTATAAAACCCAGTAATACTTTGCCTGACCCGGGAATCGAACCCGAGACCCCTTGCCCGGCAGTGGCACATATCTACAATATTTTACAAATTAATGATAATCATTATAATGTTTATTTTTGATGGAAATAGGAGATGTGTGCACTAATGTGGTGTGGGTATTAGCATTAAATTATCAGTACCTGGTGGCGTATTATGACGTCTTAACGCCAGACTGGTTCCGTTGAGGGGACGAGATCTCGCTAGACGACTTGTATAACTCTGTTTCTTTCCCTCAATGTAACAATTCTGACTTTAGGACGTCGTAATAACCCCTGGATGACCGAACCTCGGTGATTTTTTGTACGTATATTTTCTTAGAAAAATAAACAGAACGTAAAAAAATTAAATAGAACACAAGGTTAAATAAAAAACTGATAAAAAAGGAACATTTCGACTGAGGACTAAACCCGAATGTCCTGGGTAGAAGCCACCCGATTTCCTGACAAAGCTATTGTTATATAAATAGTATTGGCAAAATTTATTTTCGGATTCCAATAATAATATTACAGAAGGTTTTTATTCAATGAAAACACGGACAAAACAACAATTTCTAAAAATCTAACCTAGCTAACATCGATTTATCGTCCCCGTATTCGGGGGAAGATCCCTAAGATGCAAAATGTTAAGAAAATCGATGTAGCCATCATCGATATATTTTTTTTATAGCATAGGCCGGTAAACGAGCAGACGGATCACCTGATGGTAAGCAATCGGCGTCGCCCATGGACACCTGGATCATCAGAGGCGTTACAAGTGAGTTACTGACCTTTTGGGGACTAGTAGTTTGAGGATCGTTGGGGATTCAGGAATTGGGGATATCGGGGAAGGGGAGGGTGATTGGGCCTCCGGTAACCTCACTCACACGACGAAACACAACGCAAGCGTTGCTTCACGTCGGTTTTCTGTGAGGCCGTGGTATCACTCCGGTCGAGCCGGCCCATTCGTGCCGAAGCATGGCTCTCCCACACTTACAAGAATACGTCGTTAAAAGGTATTATACATATGTAGTCGTCGATCATTTATTAACTAGTGTCTATCAGTAGCTTCTCTAATCTTACAAAATCCATCTTTGGACCAAACATCCTAATCTATTCAGTAGTATTTCCGTGCGCGCTTCAAAGATCTATCAGACTACCACGGATGGGGCTCAATAGGGCTGATGCCGATACGGAGCCGCGGAGAACCTAACGGGTTACCTGGGCTCCGGCTCGAAGTGCAGGAGTAGAAACGGGGGGGCTTTAAGTCAGTAAAAGTCTAATAGTCCCTCCCGCCTCACCCAGACGGGAGAAGTCATTCGATGATATTCCGACATAAAAAAAATCTGTAGTATTTACACAATACATCACAAACTTCTCAGAAACTTTTACATTTAAAAATGAGTAAGAAAGGATTCGGTGGCCCGGAGGGTCGTGGTGGCCCGGAGGTTTAAGACGCCCACTTCTCATGCATGAGGGTGCGGGTTCGAAACCTACCAACGGCAAGTACCAATGTGACTTTTTCCGAGTTATATGTACTTTCTGAGATTATTTAGACACCACTGACAAACGGTGAAGGAAAAACATCGTGAGGAAACCTGGACTTATAATTTCTAATTATAAGTTTGAAATCGCCAACCCGCATTGAGCAAGCGTGGTGATTAATGCTCTAACCTTCTCCGTGTGAGAAGAGGCTTTGCTCAGCAGTGGGCATTTATAGGCTGTTGATGAAGAAAGGATTACTAGGATTGATATTATCTGCGATAATTAATTAATTAATTAATTAATTATGTTATTATTTGCTTCAGTGCCTTTTCTCATTTGCATTGCCTTCGGTCGGTCTCTTAGCTGGTGCCTTAAGAAAGAAGATCGTGTGTTCTCTCTTTCTTCAAGAGGGACTGTACAAGACCCTGGATTAAACAAGGACTGCAAGGATTACCGGGGCTTCGACTCTAAGCAGGAGTTAGAACGGAGTGGTTTTTAATCAGTAAGAGTCTCACACTCCCTCTCAGCATTCGCAGTAGGAGGAGTCATTTGATGCTTTTCTCTCTGAATAAATTTAGTGGATCACCAAGTAGTAAATATATCAATAAAACAAGTAGCAAGGGGTGACCTGTACTACCCTTATCGTCGAGGATCCCGAGGGTTTCGTAAGACTTCGTGTAGGAAGGTAAAAGAAGAAAATAAACATTACAATATTAATATATTAAAGTAGATTATATTTTATTATTAAAGCAACACTAGGGAATTATTAAAAAGGTCTAATAAATTATCTCATTAAATATAATTTTTATAATAATATTCGTGAGACATACTAAATTAACTAAAATCGCGGGTATAATACTGAGAAAAGCTCGCAGCGCAAGTAGCAATACCGAGGCGAACGCGCAGTGAGCTGCGCGACGTCGGTCGCCGCGACCGCGCACGCTGCTCATGAGGAAGAACCCCTTTGTGGTTCAAAACTAGGAGAGTTTTTCTCAGTATATTCACGTGAGTAACCCGCGATTTTAGTTAAAATATAATTTTATTGTATTTGCTTACAAAATAAAGAAAATATTACTACATAGAAATAAAACGATTTGATTATAATAATTTCTACTACTTGCCAGTTTTTAAATCTTATACACGACAAACCGGTGGAAAATCTGGTCGTTTTTCACAGACAAATGGTGCAATTTGCTCACAACCAATGTTATTTAACAAGCTGGACTGATGCATGGAACCACAGAATTCAGACTCGAAATTATTGTTTGGTTCTCCAGCAGCGAATTTGCTGTACCCTGCCTCGTCTAGCGTTTGACCTAAAAATAACAATTAATTGGTCAAGTGGTTACTATGATTGAACTTCAGGTTCACAAAAGAAATAATGCACACACAGCAGGGACGTAATAAGAAACATATTGGATACAGCACACGCAAAAAATAACTCAGACTACACAACCAGCTTCTTAACAAATTAACACTGGGTGCTATATTATACAATAGGATTTTTTTGTTTTTGAACATTTTCAAAGGTATTTAGAAATCTGAACTTTTGCTAATTCCAACACTTGTTGGTTTTTCTTTTTGTTAAGAAGTACGAACGATATGGTGACAATGTGAGCCGTCAAAATTATTCTAAACATGGCACAAACATTTGCGACAGTCAGGGGCTGCTGGCATTAGACAAGTAACAATAGTGTTTTTCTTCGGTGAATATTATTAACATTATTTTGGTCTCAATACTTTCACTTTATGTTACTATTACTTTATGTTATTATTACACAATTTATACGTTCAGGAAACGGTTACGTCAGTTTATGATAGACGCACAACGAAAGCTGAATTTGACAAAGGCAGATATTTCAATTATTTAATATTTAATTTCTACTTCTTTGTGTTATTCCCGCTATTTTTCATCTTATGATGCATTTATTTGTATCATATTAAGCTTAAATATTACTTCGTAGCAACATGTACATATTTGTAATAATAATATATTATTTGTATGAACCATTTTATTTATTTATTAATTATATTTTGTCTATGTATCTAACACACTACATGCAGTTTGTTTTTATTTTCTATATTATTTGTCTTCTAACGTACCATCCGTGAGTCACCGCAGGGTGCCACCAGAAGATCAACGTTGAATGTTACCACGCTCAACATAATGCTGAGGTGGAGGCCCGTTCGATACGTGCATGCATCTATTTTTGTTAATTTTGTGATGTTTATTGTTTGTTTTAATTTTGTATTTATTTATAACTCATTTTTGTCTACATATCTGTGCATGCAATGTGTCGAATTAATGTTTTTCTTTCTTTCTTTCTATTAGTACAGTTATTCTGAGTAAGTAGTAGCAAATGGTTTTTAGAAAAATTAATACTTTTACCGTGAATGGTCCTCCAGTCACCACGTTCCTCCCAGTCATAGAAACCAATCATAGCATAGGCTTTAGGGAAATTGCCTATCATCGTTTCAGGTGGATATTTTGCGAATAGGTCGCTTAGTACTGTAGCTTCAACGTCACTGTTGATTATGACGAGATGGCCACCTTCAGCAGAACATGCGAAGTGCGCACGAGTGAACGTGCTAGGTACTGTGTGGAACTTATAGCAAGAGGTGGTGTTTGAATCCCAATTGTATTCTAAAATAGAAACAGGTATTATTTTCCGCGTAACATGAGACAACTCTGTATGAAGGGTACAACTTGGGTATCGTCAAGTGTCGAATGAACGGGTTGGTTGTCACTGGATGGGAATACTCCATCGTAGGCCACATAGTTACTTACTAGCAGGCGATATAGTGGCCAAACGTCTACACATTACCAATAGATTTACGGATGGACGGAAGAAATTAATAGGTCCTTGATTCACGCGTCCTAAAACTTTGAAAACACATTAACACATTGATCTAAAAGGTATCCTTTGTCTCTGAAATTGACAAAACATTTATGAATAATCATCAGCCGATAGAAATCCACTCTTTAAGCTTCTTATGTTATGAGCGAGACAAATTGCAACGCATTTATCACCACGCCCTTGCATTACCCCCATAACGGACTACGTCATTTAAACTAAAATTTACAATCATCTAACCAAAACAGAAATAGGACAAACCTTTTTATTTTACAGAGACCTATAGTTCAGCATTGCACTGTAACGGGCTGGTGTGGTGTGACAGATACATACCAGGATCTACAGTTCCACATTCATTGGCCTCAGTCTTAAGATCGCCTGAACGAAAGCAGATGTAAGGTCGAGCCTCATTACAGGATCTGTCTGCTATTGCGCCCTTCGCATTAAACGTGATACAGTGTTCATTATTTCCAGCATTATTTGGCTCATTCTTGGCCCAAACTACCGAAATTTCACTAAGAGGTATACCTGAAATTTCATAAGATATTATTATTTTTATGAGATATGTCCAGCATCTGCAACGCCTGTTGCGAGTGAGTTGCTTTGAGTTTGACACCGTCGGTGGTCTCACTCAAACGGTGAGATACAAACAAAGCAAATGTAGGTAGGTTTCACTTCAGTTGCCCAGCTCATCTGTGTCGAAGCAAAGATGATTGACTCATTTTTGAGAGACATAAAAGTAGGGTTGTTATTTTTTGTATTGTTATTATTATTTAAATCGTTTCTATTTTGGAATTAACTTAGTTGAATCAAATTAGTTGTATTACTACGTCCTAAAAGGAATACGTCGATTTACAAGTCACGCTGTATATTTATTTATAACTAGATTCTGTCCGCCACTTCGTACGCGAAATACCGTTTTCTCCCTTTCCCATAAGATTTTCAGGATTTTTGTTCTACCATAAGAACCTTTTTCTGACACTAACAAATACAACGAAAAAAAATCAGCCAAATCGGTCCAGCCATTCTCAAGTTATGGCGTGACAACGGGAAACGGGTTTTATTTTTATATATATAGATTATGTATTGAATTTATTATTGTATTACCTAAATAAAGAATATTTTTACAGACGTAAGTGTGGGAGAGCCATGCTTCGGCACAAATGGGCCGGCCCGACCGGAGTGATACCACGGCCTCACAGAAAACCGACGTGAAGCAACGCTTGCGTTGTGTTTCGTCGTGTGAGTGAGGTTACCGGAGGCCCAATTACCTTCCCCTTCCCCAATCTCCCCTAACCCTGAATCCCCAAAGATCCTCAAACTCCTAATCCCCAAAAAGCCGGTGACGAACTTGTAACGCCTCTGGTGTTTCAGGTGTCCATGGGCGACGCCGATTGCTTACCATCAGGTGATCCGTCTGCTCGTTTACCAGCTTATGCCATAAAAAAAAAATTAGATATACAAGGTGTAGTTTTAAAGCCGTGTCATTTCTCGGGGGCATGTCACAGAAGTCATAAAGGTTCAATGTAAGGAAAAGTTTCGAACCATTAGTTAAAAATACGGCTATAATAAATCGTTTAAGTTCGACGGTATTTCAGAATAAGCGACAGCAATGTTAATAAAACAAACAGAATAGGGCCGCCGTGTCAATGTGTGTACGTAACAAAAAATGGTCAAGAAAGCGTGAAGGTCAGTGGGCGGGGCCACGCGTGACTTCGCACGGTACCTACAAGAAAGAGAATAATCTCGTACAACGTTAATGATTTTTAATTGATAATAACAATTTTAAATAAGCCTTGAATGCAGAAACAATGGTCAGAATGTAGCAAAGAACAAAACAATCAATAAAAGTACGACACGTACCTATCTTTAAACAAAAGTTCATGGTAGTAGGTACCAATGTTAGCCATCAGCTGATTCATAACACTGTGTAATGCTTTACTTATTACTTTTTATTGCAAGTCTGATGAATACTAATAAATAATTCTAAAGTTAGTAATTTAAGTTCTAAATAATGAAAACACATAGCTAAGTAAATAGGTAGGAATCTAGTGCTCAGCTGTTTGCGGGTATGATTTTAAGTTTAAACGCATTATAAGTTCAGTCCTAATGTTCTTTCGTGTATTAAATTTGATGTATTGATTTAAATTGTTCTTTCCTAGTCATGAATTCATATTCCGCGTAGATACCTACAGTAGTTATCAGCTGATGGGCTGATCAGCTGATTCGTAATTTGTTATACTAAATGCATATCCTGCTGAATAGGTTCAAACAATTTAGAACTTATTGTCCTTAGAGGCGGAATGTACAAGTAAATAAATTACACATCTACCTGTGTCACTCGGATATTTCGTTCGAAGTTTTCGTCTTCGCAATCTACCTATGCACAACAACACAGTTATACACTACGTCACTGATTGGATTATGCAACACCACGGTACTTGTTTTTAATGTGTTTCAAGTACTGATCACTTCTAGTCTCTGGGTAACAGCCAGCAGGCATGAATTTCATGTCATGCCTGTGTTGGGGGTGGAGGTTGTTTTCACTGCAAGTGGTAGCATAAAGATAACTATCTCGACTATTTTTCTGTTATCATTAACACATAAACACCGAACTACGAACTTTGATAATAATCAGTGACACGAAGTTCAAGGTCATGCGAAATAATTTCACAAACGGCCTACCCCGGCAGTGCCAAAGCACAAACTGAACGCGTGTGCGTGTGCGCCGTAGGGGTGAGAGTACTAGGGGGTGAAGCCGACGGAGCGTTTGCGTTTCTTATTGGATTTTTATGGAATTAGGAATAATATCAATTAAGTGTTTGAGTTTGTGTGTGTTGAGCCGCGTTATAAAGCTGGTTACAAGACTGCGGCGTGTAGTTCGCACTTACGGATTTCAGTAATTTACAGAAAAATGAAAAATATTTACCTACAATTTTTTTTTATTGATTTGGACTCAGAATCGATATTCGAGTTACCTCCTAGAAAATGACGCGGCTTTAAAACAACACCTTGTATATAGGTACCGTCAATAGTATAGAAGTATCTTCGTGAAAAAATCGAATGAATTCCTGTAAAGATTTCTGATTCCGCCTTGAAGAAGTTTTGTATGATGTGCTTCATCTCAGCTTCGATATCTGCGTTAATTGGAGAAGCCAGGATTGCACCTGTTTGGACAAATATAAGACATATAATAAGGGAGGCGTCAATATACTTATGATAAACTAATTTCTGCCAGTGGCTTTCTGGCAGCAGTTACGTTATGTCATATGATACGTTTCTGCGATGGCTTTCAATTCTTGGTTCAAGTACTTTGTTTGAATTAGTTATAACCGCTGAGTTGCTGATGTAAGCTGCTGATTAAAGGAAATCCGGACTGTGGGGGTGTCAGTAGAATATAAATTAATAGTGAAGGCGATAAAATGACACGATTATTTAAGAGGGGGAACGGACAAATATTATCTTTATGGCAATTGCTAGCTTCACTAACAACTGGGAAAATATTTAGTTTTCATTCCGCTGAAGGAATGAATTTGCAGCATGTAGTATGCAGCACCATTCGCAGATAAATGCCTATGCAGCAGAAATGCGACATAAAACACACACGACACACAACACACCCGCTCGGGCGGCGGCTTGGTGGGAGTTGTCGAGTAACAACTTCTGAGAATGTTCCGTGGAGGAGCGAAACATATATGTCGAGTGTATTTCGAGTGTTTGTTGTGTGTCGTGTGTGTTTTGTATCGTATCTCTGCTGTAGGAGCGTTGTTTTTATCTGCGGGAGGCAGAGCGGTGCTGTTTAATGCATGCGCAATATCATTCCTTCAGCGGAACTAAAACTAAACACTTTTCCAGTTGTCAGTGCAGCATGGATTTCCGCAAATTAACGTCCGATTCTATTCTATATTTTATAGTTACTAGCTTCCTTAGCTGGTGAACTTACCTTCCAATGTGCAGCGTTGTCGTGCGTCAGCCCAAGTAGCTGGTACCACGAAATGTCTGAACCAACCCTTGGCTTTACTGCTGTACTTGTATTCACAACGGATTGATGATGCATCTGTGGTCAAAGTCAAATAATTATTTGAACAAGTTAGAAAAGTTTTTATAATAACTATCATGAGACATACTAAATTAATTAAAAATCGCGGGTTACTCACGTGAATATACTGAGAAAAGTTCTACTAGTTTCGAACCACAGACGGGTTCTTCCTCATGAGCAGCGTGCGTGGTCGCGGCGATCAGTAGGCTGCGCGACATCTCCGCGACCGCGTACGCTGCTCATGAGGAAACTAGTAGAGCTTAAGTTATAAAAGGTAAAGCGATTAAAATGTTGTTGATTGTCGGTCGGTCCAAGGGCCAACATTATCATTTGGCAATCTTAACTCGTCGAGTACCGGTTTTATAGACACAATTAAAGAACGATAGGTCGTGGTCACCGGTGACCGCTTGGTGTTTGACAGTTTAAACCAATCACACTATGATTACGTTCAACGTTTTACATTTAACGAATTGGTAAGTGTTACATGATCAAGTATAATTATCATTTATTAGAGTATCTCCCTTATCTAAGGGTAAAAAAACATAGTAAAAATACATTTGCTTGCACATTAATTCATTCATTTGTCGAGCCCAGCTTGGGCACTCTAAAACATATTTTCTAAGGGATAAACCTTCAAACAAGCAGGCGGATCACACGAAGGAATGCAATCGGCGCCACCCATTGGGTATTCGAAACACCAGAGAAGATATTGCGTGTGCTGCTAGCCTTTTGAGGGGTTTGGGATTTGAGAATTTGAAGAATTAGGGAGGGGATTTGGGCGATTGAGGAGGGGATTTGGGCGAATGGGGAGGGGAACAATTTGGTCTCCGCTCACTCGCGTAGCAAAACACGTAGCAAACGTTTTTCAAGTCGGTTTCCTGTAAAACTGTCGTTTGTTATTCGTATCAAAACATGGTTTTTGACAATAAAAAATACCTATAGGTACTTCATATAAAGTATGACTTCACTTTTTATAAAAAAAGTACTTACATTTATTTTTAATACTAGCTTTTGCCCGCGACTTCGTTCGCGTGGAATAGTGACTTCCGGCAGATTTTTGGTTATGGTTATTCCCTTATTTTCAAAATATTATTTTGATTTGCCATTTCAGAAAAAAAGACGTAATTTTTCAAGGGAGCTGTCTCCCTTGAAAAATAATCCCTTAATAGTAATCCCTTAATAACCAAGCTTAAATCTATAATTAACTTAAAACTATATAAAAGAACGATCTAATTAATTTAAAAATAAAAATGAATTTAGACATACAATTTTAGTATCTACTAATAATCAAGATCAAACTAAACATACATTTTACAACAACCAGACAACCCAACAAATAAACCTTTTAATCTACTATTACGACGGAACCAATTTTAGATTTACGAAACGATCAATCCTCAATTCCACGACAGTACCGAAGCACTCGGTCGATACCCAACCAAATGCGTGTAACGAAACCATAGCGCGATCAATTTCGATCTTAACGCCATCTATCGAGCATAGTGACAACTCGGATTATTTATCTATACTCCGTTCGGACATTTTCTTTGTACTAAAAGTTTTATTATATTATATTATTTTTTCATACCATTTTTACTATTTATTTACTTTTTTCCGATGAATTAAAACAATAATATGAACCGAACTCGTGTAACGATCGACACCATTGCGCGATCTCCAACTCGATAATAGAATTATCTATACTCCGTTAGAGCATTTTATTTGTACTTAAAGTTGTATTATAGAGGTATTATAATTTTCATACCTTTTTACTCTATAATTACATTTTTCCGTTGAATTTTCAGTACTGAATTGATGCCGACTCTATACCAATAGATGGCGCTGTATGTGCGCAATAAATTTTATTTTTTATTTTATTTTTTGTAATAAAAACTACCCTTTTTTTTTTTTTTTTTTTTTTTAAGGGGGGAAAATCATCGAATGACTGCCCCCGCCTGGGTGAGGCGGGAGGGAGTGTCAGACTCTTACTGACTAAAAACCACCCCGTTCCTTCTCCTGCACGTCGAGCCGGAGCCCCGGTTACCCGTTAGGTTCTCCGCGACTCCGAATCGGCATCGGCCCTATTGGACCCCATCTGTGGTGGTCTGATGGCTCTTTGAGGCGCGCGCGGAACGCGACGCGCCGTACGCTCGGGTCTGTTTCTGGTCGGACGGGGAGCCACCCATGCTCGCCGTCCGCAGGCCCGCGCTTACGGTGGCCGGAGATCGTCCCGCGATCCCCGACGCCCGGTGTGTCCTTCGCGATGGCTGGGTTGCGAGGAGGCAGCGCTTCGCTGCCTCACGCGTCCCGCCTCCTCCTTAGCTAGCATGACTGCTTCGCAAAAGGAGGAGACGGCATCCCAATCCCCCTCGCTCCGCATCATGGCCTGCACTAGGCCCGGACGCGAGAGGTCGCCATCGCCGATCACTTCCCTGAGGACACGGCGGTGCTCAGCCCACGAAGGGCATTCTCCCACCGTGTGTTCCACCGTGTCCTCAGGGCGGTCCTCGCAGTGATGACACCCGGGCGTTTCCTCCCGCCCCATCAGACACAGGTACCTCCCGAAACTGCCATGTCCGGTGAGGACCTGCGTCAGGCGGTAGGTGAGGACGCCGTAGCGTCTCTCAAGCCACTCCTCAAAGAGGGGACTTACCGCTGCGATGGCAGCGAGCCCAGTCCTCGGTTGCGACAGTCGTTGCTGCCATTCCGCCATGAGATCGCGCCGGAGCTCATCCCGCCACGCACTTATCTGGCGCGGCAGCGGAGTTTCGCCCCGGCGACGTGCCTCCGCGCGCATGCTGTGCACGCGCGCGAGCACCTTCGCCTCCAGATCCCACGGCGGTAATCCGGCAAGGAGGTTCGCCGACTCCCCAGAGATCGTGCGGTATCCGCGGATCATTCGGATCGCCATGACCCTCTGTGCCATGAGCAGCGTCCGAGCGGGACGCCGCAACAGGTTAGGCGCCCAAACAGGGGCGCCGTAGAGGGCCATGGACCGCACGACCCCGGCGTATAACCTCCGGCAGGAGGCGTTTGGCCCCCCGAGGTTGGGGAGGATGCGTTTAAACGCAGCCCCCGTCCTCTCCAACTTTGGAGCCAAACGTCGGAAGTGTTCTATGAAGTTCCACCGACTGTCGAGGACGAGTCCTAGGTACTTCATCGTCGTCTCGACGCCGATGGTAACTCCTCCCGCCGTTATTTGGGACCCACCCGGAGGTGGCGCGTTCCCGCGGCCATGAAAACACATGGCCTCGGACTTGTGGAGCGCCACCTCGAGTCCCAACTGCCGGATTCTCTCAACGACTGTCGCAACCGCTGTCGCCATTAAGTCGGCCGCCGCCTGGTGTGACCTCCCGTGCGCCAGCACCAGCGTATCGTCGGCGTAGCATATAGTGCTAACGCCGTTCGGGAGGTCGGTGCGCAGCACCCAGTCATAGCCGATGTTCCACAGGAGCGGCCCCAGAACCGAACCCTGTGGAACACCGCGTGACATCTCTCGCCGGTTCCACTCGCCCCGGTGACCGGGGTAGCTGACGGACCTGTCCGTCAGGTAAGCCTCGATTACACGACGGAGGTAGGTAGGCACCCGATGATATCGGAGTGCCTCCAAGATGCAGCTCCAGGGCAGGGAGTTGAAGGCGTTGGCGATGTCCAGAGACACCGCCACTACGACCTTACCCCTGGACACTGCAGTCCCCGTCGTGAGGTCTCTAACGCGCATGATGGCGTCCACCGTGGAGCGCCCTCTGCGGAAGCCGAACTGGCCGTCCGACAAGTCCGGCCCAATGTCCGTCAGGTGCGCGACGAGGCGGTTCGAAATGATTCTTTCGAAGACTTTCCCCACCTCGTCGAGCAACACTATGGGCCGGTACGCGGACGGAGAGTCCGCAGGGCGCCCCGTCTTCCGCACGAGGACCAGTTTTCCCGCTTTCCAGAGAAGCGGGAACTGGCCTCTCTCCAGACATGCGCTGTAGAGACCAATCAATCGAGGCCCGAGAGCCTCTGAGGCCAGGACCCATGCCTTGCCATGCAGGCCGTCGGGTCCCGGGGCGGTGTTCTTGGCGCCCATCCGGCGCACCGCCGCTCTCAATTCTGCCTCGGTCACCTCTGGGACGATGTCGTCGTCGTCGTCGCTGTAGCCCGCGTCGGGCACCGCAGGGGGCGGAGTCATATACGGAGGGGTGAACCCCCTCCACAGTCGAGGGAACAGGGTGCCAATCACCTCCTCCAAGACTTCTTGCCGGAGACTCTGGGTGAGCGGGGGAGCCCAGGCGCGTAAATAAAAACTACCCTATGTCCTTTCTCAAGTTCCAAACTATGTCTGTACCAAATTTCACACAAATCGGTTCAGTAGTTTAGGCGTGAAGCAAAGACAGACAGACAGACAGAGTTACTTTCGCATTTGTAATATTAGTTTGGATTTGGATTACGCAGACATCATAAAAGTTGCTAACTGCCACAAACACTTATTACACAAGATTTAAGTACTCGCGATGGAGGCCTTTTATGGTCGATTAGTCCGACGTTTTCTGTCCCCAAGTTACGATTGTAAAAAATATTATTATACTTATTAAAATATATTATTGAAATCGATTTTGTAATAACAAAATTACAGTTTTCCATAAGAGATACACAGTTCTCAGCTTCATTGAATAATAAAACCGAAAATGTTACCTGTGTAGCAAAATAGAGAGAATAACCAAATAACAGAACATGTTACACCAGTCTTCATGTTGTTAGTTAACACACGTCTATGTTTAATTCAAACTCGATGGTGTTATGAAATTAGTGCTTAAAATAATCAGGCTTTTATAACTAAATATCAGTTAGGCATTGGTGCTCAAAGTTTTTTAGGACAATATCTATACATAATATATAATAAATCTGTAGAAAAGTAATTTTTGTACATTGAAGAAATTGACAAAAAAATAGCCAGCGTGTTAAAAGATAACTAACAGAACCCATTTTCATCATTATTGAAATTTTTGTCTGTTTGTTTGTGCGCGCATCACGTAAAATCTACGAGTTCAATGCAGACATTGCTTATATACAAAAGTTCAACGCAACTTGAGGTATAACTTAGTTTTTGTTTCATCGAAATCGGTTCACTCTATCAGAAGATATGATTAATTTAGTGAGTTCAAGAAGTAAAATATTACAACGCAATTCAGTATAGTACTCGAAACGACACCTTTGCATGGAAAATTGGTTTCGTTTGGTCATTGGTTTGAAGTCCGAAGTAAAGATACTACTTGATATTTTAAACAAGTAGAAAAGGCAATTCTATTAATATTAAAAATGCGAAAGTTTCTGAGGATGTATGTGTGTGAATGTGTTTGTTACTGGTCCACGCAAAAACTGCAGATTGGATTTAGATGAAACTTCACAGTAATGTAGGTCATACATCAGAATAATATACAGGCTACAATTTGTAATGACTTTATGTTATTTTGGGCGTAATATAACACAAAATGTTAGCCAAATCGGGTCTCTGAGACCAATATCGGCGTACGCTGCCTAAACCATAGGAGTTACACTAAGATAATGTACTGTAAGATTGTTTGTCTTGATTAGTTCTAATTAAAAGTCTACGACGACACATTTCTACCTTTTATGTGGAAGTCACTATGTCGATTTTTAAGAATATGTATTTATTACGATTTATCTGAAAACCTGAAAACGGATATCTGACAGGTAACATTACTATGGTAACCAACCTGATAATTTGTAATTGTTATGGCGTCCTACTTCCATAATATATTTTGGCATCAACATATAAAAATGAAGTTCTGTGGGTTTTCAAGGAATAATATTAGTATTCAGCTGCATCAGGGATCAGGGATTTTAAAGACAAAATACGAATTCAATTGACTGAATACAATTTATTCATAGACTAGCCTCTGTCTGCGGCTTCTCTCGCGTTCTTTTAATGGGGTGAGGGAAGGATTTACAATAAAAAAATGAAATGATGCACGATTCTATGCTGGTCACAAATAACCCGCATACCAATTGTAAGCTTTCCACATTGAAAATTGCAAAATACCCCATACAAACTTTCACCTCTGTTTCACAGAAGTGGAAGGGGGTTAGAAAAAGATAAAAAGTAGCCTATGATACTCTCCATCTTTTCAACTATCTCAAATCAAAAACCTCCCTGACTCCGTTCTGTCGTGAAATACGGACAAACAAACAAACAAGCACATATAAATTTATATTATTAGTATACATTTCTTAAGTCATCTGACATTTGTGTGACAAGTGAGTTTACAAAGTCAATGTGTCATAGATTTTTTTTTTATACTATGGTATTAATATTAAGGTATGCAAAGAGGTTGACAGCAGTCTAAGGAGATAAAACCACGAATAAAATATTTTCAGTTTACTTGAATTCGTATTTTTTTATATGTATATCATAAAAACTAACTAAATGCACATAGCTAAAAAATAATATCAGTCCTTTTCATTTTAGAGCGTCAAGGCCAAATTCACTATGATGGTTTGCTGTTTTTTTATGGCATAAGCCGGTAAACGAGCAGACGGATCACCTGATGGTAAGCAATCTGCGCCGCCCATGGACACCTGTAACACCAGAAGTGCTAGAAGTGCGTTACCGGTCTTTTGGGAATTGGTAATTTGAGGATTGTCAGGGATTGGGGAGGCTGGGGGAGGGGTAATTGGACCTCCGGTAACCTCACTTACACAGCGAAACACTCCTTTAGGTAACCGAGGGCTGGGCTCGCTGTCATTGCAGCGGAAAGTCCCCTCTTTAAAAGTGGCTTTAGAGAGGCCATCAATGCGAGGACCGCCCGGAGAACACGGTGGAGCATACCGTGGCGGTGTACCTTGCGTGGGCTGAGCACCGCCGTGTTCTCAGGGATGTAGGAAACGGTGACCTCTCACGTTCGGCTCTGGTTCAAGCCATGGAGCGAGGGGGATTGGGATGCAGTCGCAACCTTCTGCGAAGCAGTTATGCTTGCCAAGGAGAAAGCGGAGCGCGTGAGGGAACGAACTTCCTCACGCCCCAGCCGTCGCGGGAGACACTCTGGGCGTCGGAGATCGGCCGGCGACCGGCCACCGTAAGTGCGGGTCTGTAGACGAAGAGCAAGGGTAGCTCGCCACCCGACCAGAACCAGTCCCGTGCATACGGCGCGCGCCTTAAAGAGCCATGAGGCTCCATCTATGATGGTGTCATCACCATCATAGATGGAGCCCAGGAGGGCTGATGCTCGATACGGTGCCGCGGGAGGCCTAACGAGTTAACGGGGCTCCGGCTCGACGAGCAGGAGTAGGAACGGAGTGGATTTTAGTCAGTAAGAATCTGTCACTCCCTCTTACCTAACCCAAGGCGGGAGAAATGATTGGATGATTTTCCGACCTCAAAAAAAATCTCCTTTAGGTAATGACAACCCGATGTGTGAAATACTACCAAAAAAACTCCTTATATTATTGGTATTGATTACGCTGTGGAAATTATGGATAATAGAGCCAAGGGATGTATTAAGTCTTATAGAGGACATTAAAGTACATGTATCATATGTAACTAACCTAATATCAGAATACCTATTTTTTCATTTAAATGTTTGCGATAGTAACGCACGTCGCACCGGTACATATCAGGTCACATTATAGGAGAGAGGAAATCCCAAAATGACGGAAACTATGCGCTAAAAAACCAGGACCAAGGACGTTGAAATAAAGAGGGGCTCTTACCTTTTAAACCATTGAACCTATTTGGTGAAATTCGGTACAGCGATAGTTTGAGACCCGGGAAAGGTCATCTAAAAGTTTTTAACCCGAGAACCGGGAACTGTGCTGTTAAAATCAGTATATCTATTTGATTGAAATGCGAAACAACATTGATTTGCAAACTAGAATAGTGAAACCTCACGAGACGGGCACTGTACGGGTAAAACCTCTATGGGATTGTTTATTTTAGAAACCACGAAAATAAATTCAACCTAGGTACTGAATCGATTGTGACGATATTTGTTCCAGTTGTACAGCCGTAGAATATACCTTGACAAAGACTAATTTAAAAACCCAATTTATACAGAAGTCGCTATTTCACGCGGACGAAGTCGCGGGTAACAGCTAGTTTGTAATAAGTTCTGTGCTCATTTATTTATCATATGTTATCAGTGTCTTGGTATTTTTGAAAGAAACAGTATTTTTTCAATACCTACGAAAAAAAATAATCATACCCTTTATTACGCGTTAACGTGCTCTTCCGCATTGCTGTCACCGGGGGAATGTACCCAGAAGACGAGAGAAGAGAATTGCAATGCTTATTTTCTGTCCGAGGAAATAGCCAGCCCTCTAGTCACGTGTAGATTCAATCAACCTTTTTTTTTAACGGTGGAAAATCATCGAATGACTGCTCCCGTCTGGGTGAGGCAGGAGAGAGTGTCAGACTCTTACTGACTAAAAACCACCCCGTTCCTTCTCCTGCACTTCGAGCCAGAGCCCCGGTAACTCGTTAGGTTTTCCGCGACTCCGGACCGGCATCAGCTCTATTGGGCCCCATCCGTGGTGGTCTGATGGCTCTTTGAGGCGCGCGCGGAACGCGACGCGCCGTACGCTCGGGTCTGGTTCTGGTCGGACGGTGAACCACCCATGTTCGCCGTCCGCAGGCCCGCGCTAACGGTGGCCGGAGATCGTCCCGCAATCCCCGACGCCCGGAGTGTCCTTCGCGATGGCTGGGTTGCGAGGAGGCAGCGCTTCGCTGCCTCACGCGTCCTGCATCTTCCTTAGCTAGCATGGCTATCCCAGTCCCCCTCGCACTCGTGCTACTGCTGAGATATTTAAAAAAATCCAGTTATACTTTGTCCAACCCGGGAATCGAACCCGAGACCACTTAACCAGCAATCTCACTTGCGACCACTCGGCTAACGAGGCAGAGCAATCAGGATAAAACGTTTGATTAGCTTGATATTAGTTTTAACATCGTGAACTGTTTACTGTTTAAACCATTATTCACTAAAATATTGTGATTAAATTAATTCAATATTTGACCTGTACATTATAAACAAAAGGTCGCTAGAATGTAAATACAGCTGCCCAGTTTGCTCTAGATCACGACATTCGCTTCAAACTACCAAACGACATACGTCAACTCATAATCGAAAAGATCGTAGCGTTATCACAATACCCGCAACACCAAAGGAGTTAGAAGTCCGTTGCCGGGTTTCCAATGGTAAGTGATTTAAGGTTGGGGGGATTGGGAATAGGAAAGGAGGATTGGGCCTCCGGGAACCTCACTCCCACGGCGACCGTCAAAGGACGGTCAAAGGACCGGGTGGTTTAGGAGCGGGGGTTAAAACGTCATTTCTACGTATTATATGTACATAGAAGTGACGTCACGCGACATTTCAAAACAATACATCGTCGAAAGTATTCGTTACTGTAAAAAATAAAAAATACGTGTGTAATATTTTAAAATAATCTACCAGCCGGACATTTAAAATAAAAATTTGTCATCTACCCTATTAGTAGGATAGTAAGTTCTACTATTTTAGCTTAGCTTTTTCCTCGGGAATATCAATTTTTCCGGGTTAAAAAGTACCCTATTATTTAATCCGGACTTCTAACTTTACGTCTGCAAAATTCAAAGCAATCGGTTGAGTAGTTACGGCGTGAAGGTGGAACAAACAAACAAACTCACTTTCAGATTTATAATATTATAGTAATATAGTAATAGTAATATAGTAATTAGTAATATTAGTAATTAGTAAGGATTTTATAATTAAACACACCTTAAAATATCATTACAGGGCATCATATACCCTAATGCTAAGAACTAAACTAAACATACAATACAAACCAACACCATCTAAACTAACAATAATGGTAATATATAAAATCATGCCCGGTATATGGTAATAAACTCATCCACTATGACATGGGACCCATAACATAATCGTAAAATAATTGTCAGCAAGCAGTGAGTATAGAAAGGACATTATGTAATTATTTGTAAAATTATCATCAGTTGGTGAAAGTCTTTGGGAGAGGCCTATGTTGTGCAATGCCCAGTGGACATATTGTAGCTGATTGAAGATCATGAAAGTGAGTACCTGTTCCCCCAGGTTCGTCATGTAGAAAGGCCTTGTTGAGCGGTGACTGCTCCGTATCACATTCTGATTCAGCATGCACATCCTCCTCACTGTAAGTCCGGTTCAGGTTGCTGCAATCACATCTAAGTATGGACGATAAGGACATAGGTACAGAGGTTTGACATTATTTGCGATAAAAATTATGTTATTTTTTCCTTCAGTGTCATTTTCTATTTGCATTGCATTGGCGGGTCTCTTAGCTGATGACCTGAGTCTAGTCTAGTCCTAATCAGGAAATCCTGTGTTGTCTCTTTGTTCAACAGGGACTACAAGACCCTGGATTATACAAGTAACTGCACCGTTTACTGGGACTGTCGACTCCAAGCATGATTTAGAACGTAGTGGTTTTTCAACCGACTTCATAAAAAAAGAAAAAGGTTCTCAATTCGACTGTATTTTTTTTTTAATCAGTAAGACTTCCGCATCTGCCGCATTGTCTATTCAGAATACTAGGATCATACTTAGATAAAAGATGCTACCAAGTGAAGTGCAGCGATGATCTTTCAGAAGTACACGAAATAAAGTCAGGTGTTCCTCAGGGCAGTATCTTGGGCCCTGTACTATATCTCATCTTTACAGCAGATATCCCAACAACTGACTACACTACAACTGCGACATATGCTGATGATACGGCACTACTGTCGGCTCATAGCAACCCAGAAACGGCATCATCACAGTTGCAAAACCATCTGACGGAAGTTGAGGTATGGCTGAAGCGTTGGAGAATAAAAGCCAATGAGAGCAAATCGGTACATGTGACTTTTACACTCAGGAGAGAAACATGTCCACCGGTAACGCTGAACTGCAAAGTGATCTCTCAAGATAATAGCGCAAAATACTTAGGCATGCACCTAGATAGGAGACTTACATGGCAGAAACATATTTGGTCAAAGCGCAAAAAATTAGATGGAAAACTGCGGTCACTGAACTGGCTGTTGGGATCCCAATCGCAACTAAATTGTAACAGCAAGATGTTAGTATACAAAACCACCTTAAAACCAATATGGACTTACGGCATACAACTGTGGGGAACGGCCAGCAACAGCAACATAGACATCCTAGAGAGATTCCAAACCAAAGCCTTGAGAACAATGTTTGGCATCCCTCATTGCATAAGTAACAAATACATATACCTCGACCTCGGCCTAAAAACAGTTCGGCAGGAAATAGCTCAAAACAGTTTGAAATATCAGGACAAACTGGCAGCCCATGTAAACACATTGGTACACGCTCTGAGTGAAAACACCCTTCGGCATACCAGGCTAAAAAGAAGTGACATACCGAGCCTACATAAAAGATTTACCACTTGACGACAAGAGAGTCGTGTGAAAGGAATTTTCATAAAAATATGGCTCTTGAAGAAAACATAAACTGAGAAATCAGACAAAGAAGTGGCTTATTGTTGAAAAACAGATTGCCATGTAGCAGAACTCAACAAAAAAAAAAAATCAGTAAGAGTCTAACACTCCCTATCGCCGCATTCACGGCGGGAGGAGTCATTTGATGGTTATCTCCCTCAAAAACCTGAATGACAGGCTTGTATGGGAGTTTCGTACAGCAAAAAAGTTCTTGTTTTAGAATGCTTTTTATTTTAATTGACAGTCAACATGATAGGCAAGCCCTATTAAAATTCTCAGATATGTAGAAATTGGGACTTAAGAGTTACCGTTGAATGGGGCTTTCTAAGCGGCATATTAGTTTCAATACACCTATGGTCAAATGTTCGTGGTTTCGGAGATACGGTGGCTTAAATTTGTGGGGACACACAGACATACATTAATATGCACCGTTAGCATATTAGAAACTTAGCATCAGTCTGTAACCTAGCGTTTAAGGTATGAAATAAAACACAGTTGGCATTAGACTCTCGAGCGTATCATTTGTCTACACACATATAACCCAAACATTTACAAATTCATCTCAATCTAAGATATTCCTTACGTATATTTTACAAGATTTTTATATTATTTATAAGGTAGAATAATATAATATACATATAGTACAGGGTAGTAGAGAAGATTGTAGTTATCAATCGCTAAGGTTAAGCAACCCTTGCCAAGATTGGTCTGTGGATGGGTGACCATCTATCATGGGGAGTTTCTTTTATATTTCGGAAGGAAAAGGAGTAAGAAGGTAAGAAATGACTTTTAGAACATTTTTCTTGTAATGACGACTACGAACATCAGTAACAGTTGTCTAGAGATCCTCACTTCTTTGGAAATATTTTTTTTGTACTTTATAGGTCCATGCTTGATCACCATCTCGCCTGGTGGTAATCGATGATGTGGCCGACGATGGAGCACGGCTACCTATGAGCAACCTGTTCACTGGGGACGTACGACTGGGTGGAATGTCCACCATATAAGGGTGGTGCCTTGCTATTCGTCTGGTAGTACGGTGGTGAAACAGACTTGGGAGAATAAAGTGCAATTCCCATGCACACTCATTGAAATGTATCCGATAGAAGACCGAAAGTCTTGCGACTTTGCGCTTGTGTTGATGAGCCTCTTGGCGCGCCTCTCGATGGATTCAAGGGCATTCAGTTGGTATTTGGCCAAGCCATCTCAAAGATGAGAGCAATATTCCATATACGACTGAACTTGTGCTTAGTAAAGAGTGAGCAGCTGCTCCGGTGTGAAGTACCGTCTCATCCTCGACAGGACTACCAACTTTTTTTTTATGGCGTAAGCCGGTAACCGATACGGATCACCTGATGGAGCAATCGGCGTCGCCCATGGACACCTAGAACATCAGAGGCGTTACAAGTGCGTTATCGGCCTTTTGGGGATTAGGAGTTTGACGATCGTTGGGGATTCAGGAATTGGGGAGATTGGGGAAGGAGAGGGTAATTGGGCCTCCGGTAACCTCACTCACACGACGAAACACAACGCAAGCGTTGCTTCACGTCGGTTTTCTGTGAGGCAGTGGTATCACTCCGGTCGAGCTGGCCCATTTATGCCGAAGCATGGCTCTCCCACACTTGAACTCTCCAACAGTCAGTTGTCCCACACTTCCTACCAGTCAGTTGCACCTTTGATTTATTATACGAGCCAACGTTGAGAGTCAATATTACGCCGAGAAGCTCGAGATGGCTACCTATCGGAATGGACTCATTTCGGAAAGTAGGAGCCAGTGGTAGAACAAAATAAAAAAATATAACTACATCAATAAAAAAAGTTAAATTTTAATAATTTCTATTCTCAGCCACATTTTACATCAAGTGGTACTATTTATGTTACACGACAAACAGGGTGATAATTTGGTTGTTTTTCACAGATAAATGGTGCAGGCTTACTACACCAAAGGTCGTTGAGCAAGCCGGACCGATACATGGAACCACAGAATTCTTCATTTGCCGAATGCTTTGGTTCTCCAGGAGAGAATTTGCTGTACCCTGCCTCGTCTAGCGTTTTACCTAAAAATAACGATTAACTGATCAAGTGGTCGTTTTGCCGTATGCTGCGAAATCAAAGAAGTAATGGTTTTCACAGCATACGGCATGCAGTGCACACAACAGAGACGTATTAAGAAACATGTATGTATGTCTTATGCCGGAATACTGAAACGTTACTCAATTTTAAGTCGTACTTAAATATCGTGCCATCTCTGTCATTTCACAAAGAATTAGTGGTGACAGAACTACACTTAAACTGTCAAACACCAAGCGGTCACCGGTGACCGCAACCTATTGTTCTTTAATTGTGTCTATAAATACGGTACTCGACGAGTTAAGCGTGACTTAAAATTGAATAACGTTTCAGTATTCGGGCATTAATGTCTTGATGACTTTATTCTATATTATTATTGCTATTACATGCCATATGAACTAGGTTTGGACCTCAGGCAATAAAAATCTTATACTATTATAAAAAGCGGAAGAGTTTGTTTTTTTGTTTGTTTGTTTGAACGCGCTAATCTCCGTAACTACAAGTCTGATTTGAATAATTAATTTTGTGTTGGATAGCGCATTTATCGAGGATGGCTATAGGCTATAAAACATCACGCTACGACCAACAGGAGCTGAGCAGAGCGTGTGAAACCGCGCGGAAGTAGCTAGTTAACAATAATATAATCATTCTTATATTAAATTATTTGATTACTCAAATTTTACCTTTATATAAATACGTATACCTATTCACTTATTAAATTAACTTGTTTCCAATTTTATTTACATATAGTCAGCAAATATTCGGTCTGGTCATAAGTCAGTTGTTGCAAATATGTGCTGACACATTTTTTGCATTGATAGCAATTCAAGTTATAAATACAAAGTTGCTTATTTAGGCTGTTATATAAGTAGGGTTCTAGAAAACTATAGAATTTATTACTGTACATAAATTTCGAGGTCGAGTGTGTACTGCAAATTAAATCATTTCGTCTCTTCTTTACAGTGTTGGTATTTTAAGAGAACTGCGTGTGCTGCTTCAATATTACGTGCGTTATGTATAGTTGCCTTACAGTTAGTACCTTACAGGATTGGTAAAGTTGTTCTGTGGGGAACAGGAAAGGATAGGAGTATGCTACTTTTAATATTGCTTTCTGTGCTCGTTCCAAAGACAGCATAGAGGTTTTAGGTACACCACCCCATGAGGTGATACAATAAGTGATAATGGACTGACGTTGTGCCATGTACACTTGAGTTATTAATTTAGTATCGGCAATTTTTCACAATATTTTAAATACAATTACGTACTCTAGGTACCAAACTTTCAATGGCTGGCCGGAAAGAGAGTGTGTCATTAATAATGATGCCTAGATGTTTTATGTGACGAGTTTTGATGATTTTAGGACATTCACAGGAGTATGTCGAGAGGGCATTACATTTATGCACTGTAAGTTCAGTGTTAGTGATGTTAGTTTGATTATTACGCATGGATAAGTAAGTACTTAGTTTTGTCGTCATTTTGTTAATCAATTGTAGTTTAGCCAGTTATTTACAGAATTAAATTCCCTCTGAGCGTTCTCATAGAGTTTTATAATTGTTTTTGCGGGAAAAATAAGCGCTGTGTCGTCTGCATATCAAATATAATGTTTATATTACAGAGATCATTAATATAGATAAGGAAAAGGGTCGGGGCGAGAATGCTACCTTGTGGTAATCCAAAACCATGGTTCCCTCGGTCTTCACTTGTGGTCGTATCAATTCGAACACATTGAGAGCGATCATTTAGATAGTTTGTTAGTAGTGTTAGTTGTGTGCCCCTTGTGTGCTTTCAATTTATGTAAAAGAAGAGGAATAGAAACAGTATCAAATGCATTGGCTAGGTCCATAAAAATTGCTAAGCAGTGATTGCTTTTACCAAGTTCTTCAGATATGAAATTAGTTAGGCTATGAACAGAGTCCGCTGTAGACATTTTTGATCTGAAGCCGAATTGCCTGGGTGAAATCAGGTCATTCTTCTCCAGATAATTTACTAAACGGGTGTTTATAATTTTTTCTAATATTTTGGATAACGAGGGCAGAATGGTTCATGGTCTGTAGTTGCTTACAAGCTTTTTGTTCCCTGATTTAAAGATAGGTATTACTAAAGCCTTTTAGGGATTTAGGAAACGTTCCTTTGGATAGACATAAGCGGAATATGTAGGTTACCAGTATATTCTTACGATTTATTATTCTGTTACTTATATTATCACAGCCGACCGCACAGTCATCTTTTAGTCCAGAGATTATTCTAGCTACTTAATTTTCATCTATATCAAGTAACACAAAGGATTTTTTCTGATTTGAATTTGTAAATTCAACAGGCGACTGTGCAATTGGCGAATTACTCACTATCTGGTCTGCAAGATTTATACCGACGTTAACAAAGTAGTTATTTACATTGTTACATACATACAGCATACGCAAAAAAGGGGTTGTTTTACTACACAAAAACCTTCTTGTCGCGGCTGTCTATGAATCAACATCTCCTGAGGTGTGAGGATGCTCTATGGAGGAAAAAAACGCGTGTCGAGTATGGTTTGTGGTGGTTGTGGTTGGTGTATTTTCCTGTAGCATTTTGTATTACTATCGTAGAGACAATACCCAAAATATTGTTATTTTAAAAAAAACTAAAGTATTACCGTGAATGGTCGTCCACTGACCATGTTCATCCCAGGCAGCAAAACCAATGAAGGCAGCGTCTTTCCCGAAAGTGCCTATCATCGTTTCATTTGGATATTTTGCGTAGAGTTCCTTCAGTACTGTAGCTTCGACATCACTGTTGATTATGGCAAGGTGACCACCTTCAGCAGAACACGCGAAGTGCGCACGACCGAACGTGCGAGGCACTGTGTGGAACTTATAGCAGGAGCCTGTTCTTGCATCCAAGTGGTAGTCTAAAATTAGGATAGGACTTATTTATCGAAACGTAACATTAGTGGGAGCAATAATGATTGTGATGGAAGACTTTAATGTTAGCAACCTTTTACTTTCAATTGTTTTGTACATAGAAAGTCTAGTACCTGCTGCATAAAGGTACATTTAAAAATAAATAATAGTAAAAAGTTTATAGTGGACATTATGTTAGTAGGAACTAGTATATTTATAAATACAACATGTTATGTTATAACATAACTAGCTTCTGCCAGCGGCTCCGCTCGCGTTCCCAGGGTTAAAAAGTAGTCTATGTGTACTGCAGACCATAATTTACTTCTGTTGCAAATTTCATCCTGGTCTCTTCAGCCGTTTTGATGTGATTGAATAACAAACACACACAAACTCACATATTTTCACATTTATAATATCGGTTCAAGGTAATCTCAACTATCGGCCCTACAGTTACAGCTTAAAGTCCACTGCGGGTAACGTAACATTCGACAAATTTGTATTTGCGTTTGGTACACTAACTCTGTCCAGAGACTGAGCCGCACAATTAAGTTTGTTTTTTCCTGTATATACTTTGTCGGGATTAAAAGTACCCAAAATTGTGCCCAGGATATTAAAGTACAATTATTTCACCCAAATCGGTTCAGTAGTTTAGGCGTAACAGAAAGACAGACAGAGTTATTTTCGCATTTTTAGCATTGGTAGTTTTGCCCGCGACTTCATCCGTAAATTTACTTTGAGCAGAAAGTTTTTAGCCCTGTTATATTGATATTATTTTTTTCATACCTTTTTACTATTTATAATTTTTTCTGATGAATTAAAACAATAACATGCACCGAACTCGTGTAAAGATCGACACCAATGCGCTATCACCGCCATCTATCGAGCATAGGGACAACTCGACATATAATAGAAGAGTGCATTTACACACTTCTCGAACCAAATGCGGAGAAAAGGACAAACCTTTTTATTTTAATGAGACCTATAGTTCAGCAGTGCACTGCAACGGGCTGGTGTGGAGTGACAGATACATACATACCAGGATCTATAGTTCCACATTCATTGGCCTCAGTCTTAAGATCGCCTGAACGGAAGCAGATGTAAGGTCGAGTCTCATGACAGGATCTGTCAGCCGCTTTGCCATTCCCGTCAAACGTGATACAATGTTCATTATTCTTAGCATTATTTGGCTCATTTTTTGCCCAAGCTAATGAAATTGCACTAAGAGGCACGCCTGAAATTTCATAAGGTATTATTATTTTTATGAAATATGTCCAGCCTTTACAACTCCTGTTCCAAGTGAGTTGCGTTAAGTTCGCCCCCGTCGGTGGTCTCACTCACACGGGAAGATATAAGATAAGATAAGATCCACAATCCTCAAATTCCCAATTCTCAAAAGGCCGGTAACGCACTTGTAACGCCTTGGTGTTTCGAGTGTCCATGGGCGGCGCCGATTGCTTACCATCAGGTGATCCCTCTGCTCAGTTACCGGCTAATGCTATAAAAAACAGCAAAGATGATTTACTTATTTTTGGAACCATAAAAGCAGAAATGATTTTTTTTTATTATTATTATTTCAATCGGTTCTTTTTATTAGGAACATAATTAAAATATGTAAGTACCGTCAATAGTATAGAAGTCGCCGTGTGACGAAGTCGCATGAAGTCCTGTAAAGATTTCTGATTTCGCAGTAAAAAAGTTTTGTATGATGTGCTTTATCTCAGCTTCGATATCTGCGTTAAGTGGAGAAGCCAGGATTGCACCTGTTTGGACAAATATAAGACATATAATAAGGGAGGCGTCAATGTACTTATGATAAACTAACTTCTGCCAGCCGCTTCGCCCGCGTTGCAGCCTATTTATTATATCGGACCATAATCTACCTCTATTCCAAATGTCATCCCGGTCCCTTCAGCCATTTTGATGTGACTGAGAAACATACATACATAACTTCACGCCTCTCTCCCATGAGGGTAGGCAGATGTGAAGTTATTATTTTTTGTCACACTGTTGTAAGATCTACAAAAAATTAAAGGTGAAGCTATTTGCTCATTCCAAAGTGTAGATTACTATGGAGAAGAACAAGCAAGAAACTCTGTAGGTTATTTTTATCTTTTTCAATCAGGTTCACAATACATTTCTATAGTTACATGGTTTCGTTGTTTGGATTGTGCGAGAACAATGTAACACTAAAATCCAGTCAAAGAGATCGAAAAAAAAATAATGACCTGTCCCAGTTGACGGCGTCCGTTCACGAACATGACACGTACACCAGTACCGTCCAACTCAACCATATTGCAGGGAATTGAGCGATTCACTGCATGTACTACCGCCAATGACCTTTGAGTATGACCTTTGAGTGAGCATTACAACTCGAATCTGACACAAATGCATTCTACTACTTAGTCTAATTTAATATTAAGTTAATCACAGGGCTTTCACATTATTATTTAGGTTAAACAATATACAATTTAGCAACATGGCTGAATTGTTTACGTGTTTGGATTTCATTGAAACATTGCTTTTTGTTATCCTGTGGAGCCGGACTAGCCTGCAAATGTGTGATTGTGCTAAGGTCTGTGGACCGAATTACGTGATTTTCTTTTGGTCACATATAAATTAGTTCAGTCCTGTAGTTTTTATGTTATAAATTAAATTTAAAAAGATCTGAATATAACTTAACAAAAAGTTTTGAATATAAGATGAGCCTTGTTCAAAGATCTCAGCGCACTGTAAAAAATCCTTTACCTGACGCAGCACAAACTGTAAATTACTAGTGAAATAGAGTTACGAGCACGTTAACAAAAGCACTGAGCATTTTGATACATGCAAGTATAACTTATTGGAATGACTCCATTCAGTGACCATCATTCCTTCAGCGGAATAAAAACTAATATTTTTTTTATTCTCCGTACAGCATAGATTTCCGTAAAGTAACGCTTAACTTTATTTTATATATGTGTAGTTACTAGCTTACTTAGTTGGTAAACTTACCTTCCAATGTGCAGCATAGTCGTGCGTCAGCCCAAGTAGCTGGCACCACGAAATGTTTGAACCAACCCTTGGCTTTACTGCTGTACTTGTAGTCACAACGGAATGATGATGCCTCTATGGTCAAAGTCAAATAATTATTTGAACAAGTTATACGTTAAAAGGTTAAACAATTAAAATGTATTAAAAATGTCTGATGGTCGGTCGGTCTAATCCAACCTTATGATTTGGCCACTTTAAACCAATCATACTACGGTTCAACATTTGACGAATTGGTAAGTGTCATATTGTCAAGTATAATTAGGTATAATTTATTTAAGTATGATATCTAAGGTTTTAGCAATTGAAAATATATTTTATAAATTCATTGGTCGAGCCCAGCTTTGGCACTCTAAAATATATTTTTTATGGGATAAACCTTCAAACGAGCAGACGGATCACACGATGGCATGCAATCGGTACCACCCATTGGGTATTCGATACATCAGAGAAGATGTTGCGTGTGCTGCCAGCCTTTTGATGGGTTTGGGATTTGAGGATTTGGAAGTTTGGGGAGGGGATTTAGGCGATTGAGGAGGGGAACAATTTGCTCTCCGGTCACTCACACGTAGCAGACGTTTTGGCGCCGGTTTTCTGTGAAGCTGTGGTATGTTATTCGGTGCCAAAGCATGGCTGCTTACCATTGAAAATACTTCAACTTCATGTAAAATATTATTTCACATTTTTTTTATAGTATAAGCCGGTAAACGAGCAGACAAATCACCTGATGGTAAGTAATCGGCATCATCCATAAATACCAGAGGCATTGCAAGTGCGTTACCGGCCTTTTGGGATTAGGAATTTGCGGATTGTTGGGGATTCTGGGTTTGGGGGGGCTTCCTCAATTCCGGAATCCCCGTATTTGGGCCTCCGGTAACCTGTCTCACACGACGAATCACAACGGAAGCGTTGTTTCACGTCGGTTTTCTCTGAGGCCGTGGTATTACTCCAGTCGAGCTGGCCCATTCGTGCCGAAGTTATTATGGTTAGGTGGGTATAAGTTATTATTTAAATCGATTTTATTATAACAAAATGATAGTTTTCCAGTTCCCAAAATAAAATGAATTACGTCATTGCAATGATAAAAAAAATGCATCATAAAACCGAAAATGTTACCTGTATAGCAAATCAGAGTAAATAACCAAATAACAGAACATGTTACACCAGTCTTCATGTTGTTAGTTAACACACGTCTATATTTAATTCAAACTCGATGGTGTTATGAAATTAGTGCTTACAATAATCAGGCTTTTATAACTAAATATCAGTTGGGCATTGGTGCTCAAAGTTTTTTAGGACAATATATTTTGTAATAATGTCATTTGACCTCACATTCCAATTATCCTTTGTGTATGTGAATTTATCTATACACATTATATTTATAGTATATTTTATACTATGTATTATATGCTATATATTCTATGTATTTTTTTCGTGGTTAACGAGCAGACGGATCACCTGATGGTAAGCAATCGGCGTCGCCCATGGACACCTGGAACACCAAAGGCATTACAAGTGCGTTACCGACCTTTTGGGGATTAGGAGTTTGAGGATCGATGGGGATTCAGGAATCGGGGAGATTTGGGAAGGGGAGGGTAATTGGGCCTCCGGTAACCTCACTCACACGACGAAACACAACGCAAGCGTTGCTTCACGTCGGTTTTCTGTGAGGCCGTGGTATCACTCCGGTCGAGCCGGCCCATTCGTGCCGAAGCTTGGCTCTCACACACTTATTTATTTATTTATTTATTTATACTTTATTGCACACACAGAAAAAATTGTAAACATTGCAATAGTAATTTGAGTACAATGGGCGGTCTTATCACACGCGGCGATTTCTTCCAGACAACCTTTGGATGGAATTTTTAAAAAAAAGAATCTGGGAATGGGTGGTAGATGCACAAAACAAATAAAACCAAAATAGAAGAAAAACAATAAAAAACAAATTAAACAATCAATGAAACTTACAGACTACATATTATAATACATAAAAGATAAAAATGGCAATACTATGTAATAAATATATGTATACTTAAATGTAAAATGATAACTATATATAGTTGCGTGTATGTGTGTGTGTGTGGTGTGTGTGTATGTGTGTATGTGATGTGTTTATCCATAATGAAAGGACAAAAGCATAACTACAGTGACAGGTAGTGTTCCTTCACACGTCCCTTAAACTGACCCAGAGTTGGAGCACGTCGCACTTCCACCGGCAGCGCTTTCCATAACCGAGCCGCTTGTATTGTGAAAGACTTGTCATAAAAGCAAGTGGAGTGCTTACAAATGCTGAGCTTAAGATTTTCCGATGATCTCAGGAACTTCGAATGCGTGACACCCAGGAACTGAAAACGTTCCTTTAAATAGAAAGGGGCAGCAGGATTAAAAAGTACATTAAATAGTAAACGAAAGGATATGAGCGTTCCGGCGAAGGCGGATAGGCAGCCATTTGAGCTTACTACGAAATTCAGAAACATGATCATACTTGCGCAAACCAAATATAAATCTGATAGAAAGGTTTTGAAGGCGCTCAAGCTTGTCCAATTGTTCTTGGGTGATATCTAGATAGCTGACATCAGCATAGTCGAGTATTGGTAGAAGAAGAGACTGTGCAAGTGCAATTTTGGTTTTCGTGGGTAAGAAATTACGAAGACGCCTTAAGGAGCCCGCTGAAGCAAACAACTTTCGACTGACCACCTGCAATTGTTTATTCCAGAAGAGGTTACTGTCGATGTAAATCCCCAGGTTCTTAACATCGCGGGAGAAAGGAATTTTCGTATCAAGAAAAGAAACTTGGGGTAGACTTGTCCAATTCATTTTGGAGACGGTACGCGCACTACCGATGATAGTCACTTGCGTTTTTGATGGATTTACCAGCAAACCAAATTTGGACTCACACACTTATATATGTCGGAGCCAGTCATGAGTATGGACGCTGAATGGAACGCAAGCAAGCCACCTAGCGGATTTCCCGTGCGCTTAGGCAGAGTCGCACTCGGCGGAACTCACTTCAGTTCGAGTCGCCGTTGTCACGTGACGACGTTGTCACGGAACTGCCCTATGTTTCGCTTAGTGCCCAGTTACTGTACCTTGTGATTATAAGAAATTCAGTGATGAATTCTAAACGCTTTTCCTATTTACACGATACTCATATCCGCCCACATTATGTCTGAGCAACCGGAACGTAATCCTGCCTCTTCCGACATAAAAGCAAGTAACACAAAATAATTAATAAATGCCTATTATTAAATATATATATAACTACATAAATTTACAACTTAAAATTAACTACAACTAAACTATTAAATAAAACGAAAACATGTATGTGTAACTAGCAGCCCGTCCCGGCTTCGCACAGGGTAGAAAATTATTTATTTTTGGAAATTTGGATTGTTGTATCACTACAACATAACTACAATAGTTGGACATATGCTACCGCGGAGTTTTTTGTAGAAATTATGATGTTCTTCAATATTGTTGTACATTATTTTGTTCTATCGCTAATAGTTTCGGCAGCGCATTCGACGAAAGACATTTTAAGACTCATTTTTCTACACCTTCGGTTACATTGTTCAAATATTACCAAGGATCCCTAATTTTTTTCAGAATGAAATGTAGCCTATGTCAAATTGGAAGAATGTAGCATTCTATTGGTCAAAGAATTTTTTAAATCGGCCCAGTACTTTTTGAGCCTATTCATTACAAACATACAAACATACAAAAATAGGTACAAATCTTTCCTCTTTATAATATTAGTATAGATAAAGAAGGAAGATTTGTGCAGAAGTATGTAACTTAGTAACGAATTAGTTCAAAACGTACCTACCTCTACAGACAGTTACAAAAAAAAAGTTTCAAAAAATTATATAACCATTTGAATGCTACATTATCATTGATTCAAACACTTTATAGCTTTGATGGGCCGTCAGTATTATATAAATATACGCACACGTCATACACAGACCCAGACAACAATCTGTGTATCACGCAAAGAATAATTCTTCCGAGGGAATCGAATCAGGGACACGTTGTACATCAGCTATATTGCCAGCCACCGAATCAACCGTGCAATCAATTAACATTTAACAATCAAAATATAACGTTTGGTTAGCTTGATATTAGTTTAAACATCGTGAACTGTTATTAACTGTTTGATTCATTATTCACTTAAATATTGTGATTCAGGTGATTCAATAATTGACCTGTAAATTATAAACAAAAGGTGTGTGGTGGGTGTGTAGATGCATCAATATATATATATATATGTATATATATATTTTTTTTGTCCTTGTCTAACCATACAACGTTGCTACCATCCGTGCGTCACTGCATGGGTGCCCACTGAAAATCAGTGCTGGGTAACCTGTATGCCTGACTTATACTGAGTGGGTGACCCTTTTAGCATAGGCATGTTGTCAGCGTCTCCTTTCTAATTCTTCTGTTTTAATGTTTTTTCAACTCTTATATTTTTATTACTTCCACTGTCACATCTTGATTGTCTTTTTTTATTTTTTATTTATGCTGCATCGTGCCTGGTGCTAAATAAATGTTTTTTCTTTCTTTCTTTCTTTCTTTCAAAAGGACGCTGGAGTGTAAATACAGGTGCAAAGTTTGTTTCAGATCACGACCGTCGCTTCAAACTACCAGACGACATACGTCAACTCGTAATCGAAAAGAATGTAGCGTTGCCACCACAGAACATCACGATACCCGCAACACAACAGGAGTTATATAGAAGTCCGTTGCCGGGTTTCCAATGGTAAGTGATTTAAGGTTCGAGGATTTGGGAGCAGGGTTAGAATTGGTCCTCCGGCAACCTCAGTCCCCACAGTGACATACAGCACAAGATTGGTTTCACTTTCACACCGGTTTCTTGTGAGGCCGTGGTATCACTTCGATCAAGCCGAACCATTCGTACCGAAACCGAAGTATGGCTCTTCCACTTTTAACTCGTTGAGTACCGTCATTATAGACACAATTAAAGAACAATAGGTCGCGGTCACCGGTGACCGCTTGGTGTTTGACAGTTTAATTGCGATTCTTTCGCTGCGATGCTAACCGTGTCCACTTGCGTTCCTTCCAGTAAGGCTGAGACCTCACGGCGCGATTTTCTCCCGCGCCCACCGCATGACGATTTTTATTTTGTTTTTTATGGCATAAGCCGGTAAACGAGCAGACGGATCATCTGATGGTAAACAATCGGCGTCGCCCATGGACACCTGGAACCCCAGAGGCGTTACAAGTACGTTACTGGCCTTTTGGGGATTAGGAGTTTGAGGATCGTTGGGGATTCAGGAATTGGGGAGATTGGAGAAGGGGAGGGTAATTGGGCCTCCGCTAACCTCACTCACACGACGAAATACAACGCAAGCGATGCTTCACGTCAGTTTTCTGTGAGGCCGTGATATCACTCCGGTCGAGCCGACCCATTCGTGCCGAAGCATGGCTTTCCCACACTTGATTGTCACCCGCAAACCGCAAACCCCGCAAACCGTGGATTATCGCAAGCCGCTCGGCTTGCGCTCGGCACGGGCGGTTAAACAATCAGTTGAGTTCGAGACCGGCCGTCCCATTGCGATCGCCCGCAAACTAATCGCAAAGCGCGCGGGTGTTATCTGCCGCGGCTGCGGAACTGCGGCCGCGCTTGCAGGTGCCGCAGGAGCCGCAAACAAGCGGCCGAGGGCGTAATACGCGCCTTGACATTTACTTTGATTTTTTACATACATATTCTACAAAGGCTGTAACAGCCCGTGATTTGTTAGCCTAAACAATCATGTAGTCGCTGTAGACGATATTATAGACGACTACAGTACCTTCTCTAATCTTATATAATCCGTCTCTGGACCAAACATTCTGATCTACTCAGTAGTATTTACGCATCACAAACTTGTCAGAAACTTTCGCATTTATATGAATATACTGAACAAAGGTCTACTACGATTCGTTTCGAGTCACAGAGGGACTCTTCCTCATGAGCAGCGTGCGACGTAGTATATTAACGTGAGTAACGCGTAACATCACGCCTTTACGGCACTTAATGCCACTGTACAATGTAACACCCACTTTTCACTATTTATGTTATGAGTCCCATGTAATAACCGGTGAGCCTATTGCCACATACCGGGCATAATTCTACACTTCTTGCTACTGCTGAGATTTTTTTTAAAAACCCAGTAATACTTTGCCTTACCCGGGAATCGAACCCGAACCTTGCCCGGCTGTCGCACTTGCGACCATTACGAGTAACTCGTCATTTTTAATACATACCGTACATCTCACGAAAGTTGTTAGGTAATATTTATAAAATTAGCAAGAAAGGACTGGGTTTATAAAATTAGTAGGATAGGTAGTACCTCTAGAACTAGGATTGACATTATTTGCAATAAAAATTATGTTATTTTTACAGACTTCAAAAAAAGATGTTCCAATGATTGTTTTTTTTTTGTACGTTCAACGACTACTCCGCCGTTTGTGAACAGATTTTCATTTTCCTGCAGTGCCCTTTCTCATTTTTATGGCCTTCGATCGGTCTCTTAGCTCTCGTGCCCTTATTCAGGAGATCCTGTGTTGTCCCTTTGTTCAACAGAGACTGTACACACGGCCACACATCAATCTATACAAAACCAGTTTATCCTGGTATCGCGTCGCATCATCTTTCCGCACATTTAACGTTCAGTTTATACTGGTTGTGTAAAGTTCGATGTGTAGCCGTGTGTATAAGGCCCTGGATTAAACAAGTGATCGCAAGGATTACAGAGGCTTCGACTCCAAGCAGGAGTTAGAACGGAGTGGTTTTTAGTCAGTAAGAGTCTGACACTCCCTCTCGCAGCATACAAGGCGGGAGAAGTCATTTGATGGGTTTTCTTCCTCAAAAAATGTAGTGGTTCACCAAGTAGTAAATATATAAATAAAACAAGTAGCAAGGGGTGATCTTTACTTCTCTTATCGTCGACGATACAGAGGGTTTCGTAAGAATTCATGTACCAAGTTAAAGTTTTTATAATAACTATCGTGAGGCATACTAAATTAACTAAAATCGCGAGTTACTCACGTGAATATACTGAGAAAAACTCTACTAGTTTCGAACCACAGAGGGGTTCTTCCTCATGAACAGCGTGCGCAGTCGCGGCGACGTCGCGCAGCTCAATAGTTCACATGAGTAATCCGCGATTTTAATTAATTTACCGAGGTAAAAGAAGAAAATGAATATTACCATATTCATTTATTAAAATACATTATATTTTATTATTAAAGCGACGCTAATAATAGTATATTTAATCAACAAAGCAATATCTACAAATTTAAAATACATAGAATATAAAAACATCAATGAAAGGGTTGAATTTTAATAATTTCTTTTTCACGCCACTTTTTACATCAAGTGTCTATTTGTGCTGTAATGCACGACAAACAGGTGGGTAGTTTGGGTTCTTTTCACAAATAAATGGTGCAGGCCTTTCACACCAAAGGTCGTTGAGCAAGCCGGACCGATACATGGAACCACAGAATTCTCCCTCTGTGGAATTACTTGGTTCTCCACCAGAGAATTTGCTGTACCCTGCCTCGTCTAGCGTTTGACCTAAAAATAACGATTAATTGATCAAGTAGTCGTTTTTCCGTATAATGCAAAAACAAAGAAATAATTGTTTTCACAGCATACGACATGCAGTGCCGATCACAAATTAATGCACACAGCACGGACGTATTAAGAAACACATACAGTATACGCAAAGGGGTTGTTTTACTACACAAGAACCTTGTCGCGGCTGTTAACGAATCAACATCTCCTGAGGCCCGAGAATCCTCTGTTGAGGAGCGAATCACGTGTCGAGTATGGTTTGTGTGTGGTGTATTTTTCCTGTAGCATTTTAAGCGACTAACCGGTGTAACTGTGGAAACGATCCCCAAAATATTGTCTTTTAAAAAAATATTATTATTAGTATTACCGTGAATGGTGATCCAGTCAGCACGTTCACCCCAGTCAAGGAAACCAATAAAGGCAACGTCTTTCCAGAAATTGCCTATCATCGTTCTATGTGGATATTTCGCGAAGAGTTCCCTTAGTACTTTAGCTTCGACATCACTGTTGATTATGGCAAGATAACCACCTTCAGCAGAACACGCGAAGTGCGCACGACTGAACGTACGAGGCACTGTGTGGAACTTATAGCAGGAGCCTGTTCTTGCATCCAAGCGGTAGTCTAAAATTAAGACCGGAATTATTTATAGAAACGTAACATTAGTGGGAGTAATATTAATTGTGATGGAAGACTTTAATGTTAGCAACATTTTACTTTCAATTGTTTTGTACATAGAATACCTACTACATATGGGCATTTTTTTTAAATTGCTACCTATCTTCGAATTTCGCTCACTAATATGGTTTTGGATATTTTAGCCAATTCTTGGTTTATTCGAATGATAAATTTTACAAGTTTTGCTAGATATCTAGTACACATGGCTACACATCGAGCTTTACATAACCAGTATAAACTGAACGTTAAATGTGCGGAAAGATGATGCGACGCGACATCAGGATAAACTGGTTTCGTATAGATTGATGTGGCCGTGTGTACCTGCTACATAAAAGTGCAATTCAAGAGAAATAATAATAGAAAGTTTATAGTGGATACTATGTTAGTAGGAACTAGTATATTAATATAAGATGTTATGTTATAATATGATTATATTATCTAGTTGTAACCAGATTGGCTGTGCCCAACAGGGTATTGTATAAAAAATTGTATGAAACGAAAAAATATGAAATAAAAAAGTTAAAAAAGGTTATAAACCTAAATCTTTAGGCACTGATCACTCATATACTTTATTGCGAAAAAGCCGTTTACACATTATATATTTCGTTAAAGTAGAAGAGTGCATTTACCCGCTTTTCTGTAATCTGCAAGGGACTGCGTATTTTATACTGCTGTCTACAATCATCAATCCAAATGCACAGAATATGGCAAACCTTTTTATTTGAACGAGACCTATAGTTCAGCAGTGCACTGTAATGAGCTGGTGTGGAGTGACAGATACATACCAGGATCTATAGTTCCACATTCATTGGCCTCAGTCTTAAGATTGGCTGAACGGAAGCAGATGTAAGGCCGAGTCTCATGACAGGATGTGTCCGACATTTCCCCAAGCCCGTTGAACGTGATACAATGTTCATGATTCCCAATATTATTTGGCTCATATTCTGCCCAAACTAATGGGATTTCACTAAATGGTACACCTGGAATTTCATTAAATGTTATTATTTTTATGAGATATGTCCAGCATCTGCAACGCCTATTGCAAGTGAGTTGCGTTGAGTTGGCCACCGTCGGTGGTCTCACTCACACGTGAGATATAAACAAAGCAGATGTAGGCGAGTTTCACTCCGGGTTTATATAAAGCCGTGGTGTCACTTCAGTTCCGCCGGCTCATTTGTGTCGAAGTATAAATGTGGATGATTGACTTGTTTGTTGGTATTATCATTTTCTTAATCATTTTTATTTATATTGATTGTGTTGTACATAGATATACCTTCGATACTATAGAAGTGGCCGGGTGATAAAGTTGCGTGAAGTCCTGTAAAGATTTCTGATTCAGCCGTGAAGAAGTTTTTTATGATGTGCTTCATGTCAGCTTCGATATTTGCGTTAAGTGGAGAAGCCAGTTTTGCACCTGTTTGGACAAATATAAGATATAGGTATGTATATGTAAGACAGGCTTTAATGTACTTATGATAGTCTCCATTACAATCCCACTCGTCCGTCATAAAAGAACGACTTACATATATCACGTTGGAGAGAACAGTTTCATGCATTTTATTCACCATGAAACAGAAACTACACACATACATAACATCACGCCTTTTATCCCCGAAGGGGTAGGTAGAACACATTGTGGCGCTTAGTGCCACTGTACAATATAACGCCCACTTTTCACTATTTATGTATGAGTCCCATGTAATAGGGGTTGAGCCTAATTGCCATATACTGGGACCAATTCCAAACTCCGAGCTACTACTGAGAACTCGACGACTCGGGAATTGAACTCGGCCAATGATGCAGTCTAATAAAACTACCGGTTTTTTTTATTTCTCAGTAGTAGCACGGAGTCTGGAATTGAGTTGGAATGGCTCCCAATTCCATGGGACTCATAACATAAATAGTGAAAAGTGGGTGTTACCTTATACAGTGCCATTAAGTGTCGTAATGTGCACCTCAGCCTATCCCTTCAGGGATAAAAGGCGCGATGTGATGTTATGTTAATAAAAACTACATTTTTGTTTAAAACAGTGATACTGAATCACTCCTTCGTGTTGTTCAATTTGGTAAAAAAATGTAATGTATTATTGTTTTATTCTTATCAGAATATTATTGAACAAATGAAGTTATAATAAGCAGATCGTTAGCGGGGGTGAGGTGGGCTAAATAATATCATACTTATTAACTTTGTTATTTAGATAACGGCCTTTTTACCTTAGGTTGGAAATGGTGAACGCATAATGCAATGTACCATCTACTTTTTACATAACGTAACATAACATCACGCCTTTTATCCCCGAAGGGGTAGGCAGAGGTGCACACAGAAGTAACACCCACTTTTCACTATTTATGTTATGAGTCCCATGTAATAGGGGGTGAGCCTATTGCCATATACCGGGTACCTACATTTCCAGACTCCGTGCTACTACTGATTTTTTTTTTAAAACCCAGTAATATTTTCCCCGACCTGGGAATCGAACCCGAGACCCCTTGCCCGGCAGTCTCACTTGCGACCACTCGGCCATCGAGGCAGATTTTTTCCTCTTTTTACTTGGGACATAATTCAATTGTATCATGACTTTGACATATAGCCTGTAAAGGAAATGCTTCCGCCAAAAACCGTCGATAAGTGATAGTAAATCATAAGTTTTATTTTTATAAAAGTAATGAATTGGGTATTTGCTAACCAGTTCAACCAAATTCAATACTTTTTTCAAACTAAACTATCAAAAAAGACAGAGTTTTCTATGAATTTTGTACGAAATTGTGTAGGTATTGTGCCAAAACCGCTGCAACTCCTGTAAGCCAGGATCTACAGTATATACAACCATGAAAACATCGGAACACTGAAGTCCAGCGCGTCCCAGGAATATGAATAACTGTCTTGGTTCCCGCAACGAGGTGAATCAGAAGATATAAATATGCCTATGTGTTATTATTTTAGAGCAATATCTACTTTTTTTCCAAATATCAATAAGATCCCTTCAGTCGTTTGACGTAATTGAATAACAAACATATGTACAAAGTCAAACACTTTCCCATATATAATTAGACGAGCTTTTACCCGCGGCTTCGCTCGCGTCACAAAAGGATAAAAAGTAGCCTATGTGACATATCCCAATACATACAGCGCCATCTATACCATTACTTTTGTTTTCCCTCGGGAATATCATTTTTTTTTCGGGATAAAAAGTACCCTATTATTTAATCCAGACTTCTAACTTTACGTCTGCAAAAATTCAAAGCAATCGGTTAAGTAGTTACGGCGTGAAGGTGGAACAAACAAACAAACAAACAAACTCACTTTCAGATTTATAATATTAGTAAGGATTTAGATTAGACTAGCTGAACTCGCGGTTTCATCCACGTGGAATAGTGATTCAAAGCTCCTCCCCCGTAGTTGATAGCACGATAATAGCCTTTATGTTGACCCGAATTTTTTTTTTTTAAACGTTGCCCCACACTAGGATTTTCTCCTGTGTCGTGGGTGTGTTCACAAACATACAAGTTCACATACACAATGACACCCAGACCCGAAACAACAATTTGTGGATCACACAAAGTGTTGTCCCGTGCGGGAATCGAACCCGCGACACGTTGCACGGCAGCCGGTTGCCCAGCCACCGCACCAACCGTGCAGTCAAACCAGTAAGACCAGACAGACCTGTTAGTAGTATTCATGCAAAATTTGAAATAAATCCGTGCAGGATTTTTTGAGTTCATCCCGGACATACATACAGACAAACAGATAAAAAGGCAGTCAGTTGCAAGCAAATGTTAGCTTGCTTAGCTGGTGAACTTACCTTCCAACATGCAGTGCAGCCGTGCGTCAGCCCAAGTTGCTGGTATGACGACATGTTTGAACCAACCCTTGGAGCCAGTGCTGTACTTGTAGTCACAACGATATGCCGCCTCTACCTCTATAATCAAAGTCAAAATTACTTCAACAAGCTTAGAATGCACTTACGCTGAATAAATGTTATTTCTTTCTTTCTTTCACTTTTAACGGTGAAAGAAACATAACATAACATAACATAACATCACGCATTTTATCCCCGAAGGGGAAGGCAGAGGTGCACACAGAAGTAACGCCTACTTTTCACTATTTATGTTATGAGTCCCATGTATTAGGGGGTGAGCCTATTGCCATATACCGGGCACATTTCCAGACTCCGTGCTACTACTGAGATTTTTTTTAAAACCCAGTAATACTTTGCCCTGCCCGGGAATCGAACCCGAGACCCCTTGCCCGGCAGTCGTACTTGCGACCACTCGGCCAATGAGGCAGTATAAATATTTCCATCCAAAGGTTGTCTGGGACAAATCACCTTCGTGTGATAAGACCGCCCATTGTACGCATACTTGAATTGTTTGTTTATTAAGCTACTTAAATGGATTGTACACATCTATAAATAAATAAATAAGTGTAGTTCAAATATTGATTGGTCGGTTGATCGGTGATCAGTACAAATTATGACTTGGCCATCTGAGACATCAGCCTAGTTCGCCTTACAAACCTCTGTCCCAAAACCGAAACGTGAAAGGGACTAGTGACTATGTAATAATAATACCCAATCGATTTCGATCATAGCGGGTTATCGGGGCTCCCTCCCGCTTCACCCAGGCGGGACCAGTCAATCGATGATTTTCCCCCATAAAAAAAGTGCAACTAGACTAGACCACTACGCAGGGGATAATGATGCACGAGTGTGGGTGCAAACACAGAGGCTCACTCTGTTCACGCACTAGCTGAACCCAATGGGACGGTAGGGTGATATACTGCTGAACTTCCTGACTCCGGACTAATTTAATGGTCAGTTCACTCACAACAGTTACTTGTTACATACTCACTACCAGCGAAGTACAAACTTTGATGAATTGCTAAGTGTCTCATGGGCGTGCATAGGTATATATAATACTATTATTATTAGAGTCTGATAGCCAAGGTTTTAGCAGATGAGAATACATTGGATTGCACATTAATTTGTCGAGTTTACTTTGAATACCCAAAAACATGATATTAGAAAATGTTTACTCAGGTATACCTACCTTACAGTTACCAACTCTCATAAAACACTTATTTTATACCAGACTAGCAAACCCAGCGAACTCCGTTTCACCACCAGATGGCTTCGTTTTATGTTATATTTCGCTGTTTACAGCAAAAAAGTGCTGTAAGCCTTACGGAGCTCGAGACCTTTCCAACGAATGCAAAACCGTGGAAATCGGTTCGTGCGTTCTGGAGTTATAGCGTCAGGAAGGAAAACCCGACTTATTAATATATATAGTAGAATTTCGATGTACGCTATGGAGGACTTCTATGGGCGACGAATACCAAAGTCATAAGATTTTAGCAAATGAATTTATGTAATACTTCCAATTGTTCGGGCTTCACTCGAGTATTACCATTCTAAATTCGTTTTTTAAACATTAAGGTACTTTTTGAAGCAAAAACTATACACAAAATTTCAAAAATAAATAAAATTCTATCACAAAAAAAAAACGAAAATATTACCTATATAGCAAAATAGAATAAATAACCAAATAACAGAACATGTTACACCAGTCTTCATGTCGTTAGTTAACACACGTCTATATTTAATTCAAACTCGATGGTGTTATGAAATTGACAGTATATCAGGCTTTTATAACTAAATATCAGTTAGCCATTGGTGTCCAAAGTTTTTGAGGGAATACATTATAAGTAATAAGACCTCATTTTAGTATTTACCCAATCTTAAGATATCAACTGACATTGTATTATTACCATTTTCACATCACATCAACATTGTTTATTTATTTATTTATCTAATGCTAACAACTACCATTACAGAAGTGTGGCCATCCGTCTTACAAATACTTACTTATTTCAGTATCTACTTATTATCTAATTATATTACATTTTAATTTATGACTTGTACTTACCTATATACAATACAACGATTCAGATGAAAACAATAAAAAGCCCCATTAAAGTACTTAACTGTTTAAGTATATTTTAAATATTTAAACTGCATACTAAATAATGTGAGAATAAGCAAATATTAAACCTGACAGGGTTCAATAATTCACTTATAAACTACGATAAAAAAACCGACTTCAAATTTGAAGCCAGTTAATTAACATACTAAAACTTTCTTCTCCTGAGTGTAACAAATATTTTAATGAAAACCGCATTAAAATCGGTTTGGCCAATCGCGAGATAGGTAACCCCGCACAATCATACAAGCAGTTCAAACACATAAATACTATATATACTATTTACTATTATGTAATATATATGTATAACTATATTATTTAATAATTACCATTATTTTTTCCTCTCTCTCTCTCTCTCTCTCTCTCTCTTTGTTGTTAGTTTATTCTCCGTACCTCAGTTTTCGCAGATTTTGTACTTAAACCCTAAGGTTGACTGGTAGCGAATGCCATATGGCATTACGTTCGCCTTATGTACCATAAACAAATTATGTACATTAAAGAATAAATAAATAAATTCCTTTTTTTGAAGTCGGTTAGAAATCCAATTGTCTTACAAGATGCATTTTTTTAGAATAACCGTTTTTTTATACGTTTCCACACGTCACGACTGTTTCCCGTCCCGTGGGTGCGTTTACAAAGGTACATTTCACATCATCGCTTACCACTAGGTGAGATAATGGTCAAACATCATCCTATCAAGTATAAAAAATATATACAGTTTGGACTATTGTAATGCCACCTAAAGGGAAGTGTGGGAAAGCCATGCTTCGGCACGAATGGGCCGGCTCGACCGAAGTGATACCACGGCCTCACAGAAAACCGACGTGAAGCAACGCTTGCGTTGTGTTTCGTCGTGTGAGTGAGGTTACCGGAGGCCCAATTACCCTCCCCTTCCCCAATCTCCCCAATCCCTGAATCCCCAACGATCCTCAAACTCCTAATCCCCAAAAAGCCGGTAACGCACTTGTAACGCCTCTGAGGTTCCAGGTGTCCATGGGCGACGCCGATTGCTTACCATCAGGTGATCCGTCTGCTCGTTTACCGGCTATTGCCATAAAAAAAATCTTAATACTTAAGATAGAAAATTTTACCTAAAGAAAACTTTTTTTATTTTTGAAAAGAATGAAAACTGCATTCAAATCACACTCATTAAAATTCGCTTGCCGCACACGGTAATCGAAGCGACTAAAATCTGTAAAAGTTACACCATGTACATTTATTGCATCCATTGTTAGGGTCAATAAGGATGAATTCTCTCTAACAAACTTCATAAATTTAATGAAAGGAAAACAATGAACGATCTATGCAATAAAAGTACAGGGTGCAAACTTTGACAGATTTTAATCGGTTCGATTACCGTGTGAGGCAAGCTAATTTTAAAACAATGCTTGAATGCAGTTTTGTTTCTTTTCAAAAATAAAGGAATGTATTCCTTGAGTAAAATTTTCTATATTAAGTATTAAGAGTACTTCCCCTTCAGGTGGCATTACAAAATTCTATCATATAATTGGGATGATGCCATGATATGAAAATTAAAAATCTAATTAGTCCGTAAGTTAGGTAATGAAAAAATATTAGACACGTATTTTTTATTCTATTGTATAATAAAGCAATGCTTAGATAAAACGAATCAAAGTTTAGGAGTGGGGGCTAAAACATCATTTCTACGTATAAAATGTACATAGAAGTGACGTCACACGACATTTCAAATCGATATATCGTCGAAAGTATTCGTTTCTGTAAGAAAATAAAAAATACGTGTCTAATGATTTAAAATAATCTACCAGACGGACATTACAATCAAAATTAGGCATCTACCCTATTATGTACGTCACACGCAGACCCACCCGATCGACAGACATTTGAGAATCTTGGCCATACAAATAAGTAGTGTTCATTGAAGTTACTCGAGTAACAAATCATAAAAACCCGATAACGGACTATAAAAATAAAATAATGGTATACACCTATACAATAGGTATTTTCAATTAAAATCATGTTTATAGGTATTATTCTTATGATATTTATCTTTTAACATTGCCTACCAATTGAGAAAGTTAATAAGAAAAGGTATCATATACATTATCATGTTTGGATTAACCATTCGCGGGACCACAGGGCCTCAGTCATTTGGGAGCCGTACGAGGGCCCGAAGCCAAATGCGCAGAGGCCCTATAGACAACTCTAATCTAAATGTAATTGGACACACAAACCAGCGACTATCCCTGCACTATGTGAATGCACTCAAGGAGTCTTCTTAAGAGACTCAAGAGTCCTCGGTTTGTGTACCTAGATAATGAAAAAAAGATAGGGCTATATAGAGAATAGGTTCCTGTGGACTGGTATCATTATTATTATTTTCTTTTTAATTTGTAATTTTTTTTATGGGATGAGCCGGTAAACGAGCAGACGGATCACCTGATGGTAAGCAATCGCCCATGGACACCTGGAACACCAGAGGCGTTACAACTGCGTTACCGGCCTTTTAGGAATTAGGAATTTGGTGATTGTGGAGGATTCGGGGATTCGAGACACTAGGTGGAGGGGGGGTGGGTAATTCGGCCTGCGGTAACCTCACTCACACGAAGAAACACAACGCAAGCGTTGTTTCACGTCGGTTTTCTGCTCGGCCGTGGTATCACTCCAGTCGAGCTGGCCCATTCGTGCCGAAGCATGGCTCTCCAACACATAAACATAAATAGTGGAAAGAAGTGACGCAAGGCGCACCTCTACCTACCCCTTCGGGGATAAACGATGCATCATGATTTGAAATATTACCAACTTTTGCTTTGAATATTACTTCTAAAGTACGGAAAAGGAAACTGCTCCTCCGACCAGGCGAGGTCATCGTGCCTAGCGGGTTTTCTGTCCAAAAGTTTTTCGTGGGGATTATTTTCTTTTTTTTTTTGCAAACATTGCCTCACACTAGAATTTTTTCCTGTGTCGTGGGTGCGTTTACAAACGTACAAATTCACATACACATGACACCCAGACCCGAAACAACCATTTGTGGATCACACTAAGTGTTGTTCCGTGCGGGAATCCAACCCGCGACACGCTACACGGCAGCCGGTTGCCCAGCCACAGCACCAACCGTGCAGTCAATTTTCTATTAATTTTAATTCACGTATGCGATGTAGGATTTGTCGTCATCCGTTGATTTACTCGTCGATCGTCTATGTGCGACTTCCATCGTCTGTCATTTGGGTCATTGGTCGTCGATTCCCAAATATATATGCTGCTAACTGTTGCCCGCCACTTCGTCCGCGTTGAATATCATACCTATTTTATCCCATGGGAGCAGATAATCCTTACTCCAACTTGGATGGGCAGCGTTCGGGAAGTTACGCGAAATCTTCTCATCGAAAATCCCTCAGTGCCTTTAGGCACTTGGTCTTTACCAGGATGTTCAACCAGTGTGTGTTGCCGGTGATAACGTATGGTACCGAGACGTGGTCCCTGACCTCTGGCCTTCTGGAGAAGCTCAAAGTCGCTCAGCGTGCGATAGAGAGAGCTATGCTCGGGGTTTCTTTGCGCGACAAAATCCGAAATATGGAAATTCGCCAAGAACAAGAGTTATCGACATAGCTCGCAAAATCTGCAGACTGAAGTGGCAATAGGCAGGCCAACGTCACTCGAAGGACTGACGGCAGATGGGCCTGGAAAGTCCTTGAGTGGAGACCACGGACTGGAAGACGAAGCGTGGGCAGGCCTCGCGCTAGGTGGACCGACGACATCGCCAGAGTTGCGGGGAGCCAGTCGATGCGGGTGGCGAGTTGTCGTTCGACGTGGAGGGCTAAGGGGGAGGCGTTTGTCCAGCAGTGGACGTCTTCCGGCTGTTGATGATGATGATGAAAGGTATCCTATCAACTAAGTCAGCCCATACCCATGGTATATGCCTGTATACCAAACATTAAAATCCGTTCAGTAGTTTCAGCGTCATTGACGGACAAACATTCAAACATAGAACTTTCACATTTATAAATTAGTGTGATGAAAACAAAGATTTCATGCTCATTCAATTGCCATTCTAAATACGAAATAACTTTTGCCATATACAATAAAAACCTACTTCAAATAATAATAGACAATTATGAATACAACATTATGTTAATAAAGCCTACTTTACACTACAATATTAACAGGTGTGACATTCATTAATTTTGTGTAACGTAGCGTGCAAAATGACGTCTTCGAAATAATTCCACATGTTAGACGTTTAAACAATTTGTAGTATCATCTGTTTTCTATGATTAGGGTGCTTACATAAAGAAGCAGGTAGGGAAGCAGGCAGCTAGGGAATGCAAATCTCGTGAGATTGAGGCTCCAGCGAGATCTCGCGAGATGTGTCCTTTATGTTGTGTGTGTGTAAATCATACTAATATTGTAAATATAAAAGATTCTTTATTTTGATGTTTGCATGTTTATTTGCATTATTTTGATAGGAGGAACAATAATAACATGAACAGCAAATGAATCCTGAATGTCTTTCAAGAGTTTTGAAATTATTATTCATTCAATAAGGGCCAAAACACGAGTCGTAGGTTTGATTAACCTACGAAATATATATTTTGGCCATAGATAATAAAAAAAG